CAGCCCCCTTTGTTTTATTATTATTACTATCATTGTTTTATTATGAGACAAGCTCTCATTAAGCCTCTAAGTTGCCCAGGCTGCACTCAAACCTGTGGTCCTCCTCCCTCAGCCTCCCAGGGTGCTGGGATTACAGGCTGAGCCACCATGCCCACCTACAACTTAATTTTTTAAATGCACAAAAATTCACTTGACATTTCAAAAGAGGAGACATTTCAAAGAGGATATACAAATGACAAACACACAGAAATACAATCAAGGCACTAGCCTCTAGGAAAATATAAGTATAAAAAGAGTAGAGCATAGTGGCCATACCTGTCACCCCAGCTACTCAAGAGGCTGAGGCAGGAGGATCACTAGTACCAGGCCAGCCTGGGCAATTTAGTGACACCCTGTCTCAGAATTTAAAAAACGAAAAGGTCTGGGGATGTGGTTCAGTAGTAGAGGACATATCTAGCATCCATGAGGCCCTGTGGCTCCATGGAAAGCAGAATTTAACAGCAACAAATTACAATATTGGGTGGAAGAAATTTCTAAGCAAAATAACAAGACACTGTCTTAACATTTAAAAAAATTTTTAAAGGGGCAGGGAGTGTGGATTCAATCCCCAGTATGACAAGAAAAAATACACCGAGGAGATATTTCTGCACATTTATTAAAATGGTCAAAGATTAAAAATGAGTAAAAACAGCAACAACAACAAAAATTCTAACAATACCAGGTACTCATAATGATAGATGGAGCAACTAGAAATCTCATCTATTTTTTGTATGAGGAATCGAACTCAGGACCTTGTGCTTGCCAGGCAGGCACGATGCCACTGATCTAAATTCCCAGCCCAAAGTCTCACGTATTTTGAGAAAAATACAAAATGCTAGTGTTTCTCTAAAAAGCAACTTGGTGATTTCTTATAAAATTAAACATATCTTCATCAACATATGATCCGGCAATTCTACTCCTAGGTATTTTTCTTCGGAAATGAAAATTTAAATCAATGCCAAAACCCATACACTAAAATTTTTGCTCCTTTTGTGATTCTTTTCAGTGGTTGTCAAGGCAACCATCACCCATCAAGGCACTGCTTTTTTTTTTTTTAAGGTTTTGAGTGAGACCTTATAAATTTATAAAGCAAAAACTAATTTCATTCCGATATGTAAAA